TTGAAATCCGGAGAAAATAAATATAATCATTGGTTCGATGGATTGGGCTTCATTCAGCGGTATCATTTCAAGGATGGCAAGGTTGGTCTTCTTTTTTTTGAGTTTTTCTCAAGAACCAAAAATGCTAGAACACAATTGTTCACTAGTAAAATGTGAAAAAGAAAATTCTACACATTTTGGTCGTCTACAGCTTTTGGATATCTCATGAACCGTTAGAGATATCAAAAAGTTGTAAACTACAAAAATGTGTAGAATTTTCTTTTTCACATTTTACTAGTGAACAATTGTGTTCTAGCATTTTTGGTTCTTGAGAAAAACTCAAAAAAAAGAAGACCAACCTTGCCATCCTTGAAATGATACCGCTGAATGAAGCCCAATCCATCGAACCAATGATTATATTTATTTTCTCCGATTTCAAACATCCCTGGTCCATTTCTGACCATTGTGCCTTTCAAATAACTTGGCACCGTGCCAGATGTTGAGCACATTTTTGGTTCGATCACATTCTCGAAATTGTGGAACAGACGAGCGAATCCTTCCTTTTCCATTTTGGCTGGATTTCAGGAAAATCTTTTCAAAAAAGGAAATTTAAGAAATCTCTGATTGGAGAGCATTGAGAGACAAGACAACATCTTGGAAGAAAGACAGATTGAATTTTTCAGTTTTTGGGAAAATTATGAATTTCTGAATTTCTGAATTTCTGAATTTCTGAATTTCTGAATTTCTGAATTTCTGAATTTCTGAATTTCTGAATTTCTGAATTTCGGAATTTCTGAATTTCTGAATTTCCGAATTTCTGAATTTCCGAATTTCTGAATTTTCGAATTTCTGAATTTCTGAATTTCTGAATTTCTGAATTTCTGAATTTCTGAATTTCTGAATTTCTGAATTTCTGAATTTCTGAATTTCTGAATTTCTGAATTTCTGAATTTCTGAATTTCTGAATTTCTGAATTTCTGAATTTCTGAATTTCTGAATTTTTGAATTTCTGAATTTCTGAATTTCTGAATTTTTGAATTTTTGAATTTTTGAATTTCTGAATTTCTGAATTTCTGAATTTCTGAATTTCTGAATTTCTGAATTTCTGAATTTCTGAATTTTTGAATTTCTGAATTTTTGAATTTCTGAATTTCTGAATTTCTGAATTTCTGAACTTCTGATTTTCTGAATTTTTGAATTTCTGAATTTCTAAGTTTCTGAATTTCTGAATTTCTGAATTTCTGAATTTCTGAATTTCTGAATTTTTGAATTTTTGAATTTCTGAATTTCTGAATTTCTGAATTTCTGAATTTCTGCATTTCTGAATTTCTGAATTTCTGAATTTCTGAATTTCTGAATTTCTGAATTTCTGAATTTCTGAATTTCTGAATTTCTGAATTTCTGAATTTCTGAATTTCAGATGTTTGGAAAAATTTGCAAAATTTGAGATTTTTTAATATTTTGAAAAATTGAGCATCTAGGAATCTTAGAATTCAACACAGATTTACAATATGAATCAAAGAAGAGTATAAAAACCAAAAGATTCAAATCTTTTGGTTTTAATGGAAATTTAGGCCAACCGGAACACCGAAATTTGGAATGTTATCTCACTAAAAAGTAGTAAAAAGATGAAAAAACGATGAAAAAACAAAGAATTTGAGATAAGAAAAAAACATGGAAAAACTAAAGAATTTTCAGAAATTCAATGGTTCAAAGATTCAGAAAACTCGAAAAAATCAATAGTTTCAAGAAATTGATAAATTCCCAAAAATATAAAAATTTGAAAAATTCGGAAATTTCGAATTTCAGAGGATCCCAATAACCCCTTTACCAGTTTTATACCCAAAAAAAAATAGGCTCCGCCTACTTTTTTTTTGAGTAAAAAAGACAGAAAAGAGGTCAGAAACAGATAAAAGACAAAATGTTTACCCAGCAACTTTTTTCTCTAGTTCTCTCAAAAAAAATATATGTTTTCCCTTTTTTTTCCGCATTTCTTGGAGACCGCAGACAATCAGAAAAGCGGTCATAGACTCCAGGTCACAAAGGAGTTTGTGTCGCCCCAAAAAATAAGTTGTCATGAAAAATTCATTAGAAATTTGAGAATCAAATTGGACACATTGTAGCCAAAATCATTCAGAAAACCTAGGCATCAGAAATATTACCATTTTTGTTATAAACCTAAAAATATAGCTCAAATGCTTCAAAATGATATAAAAACCATGTTTCTAGGTCCTCTAGAACCCGAGATATAGCCTCTAGAACCCGAGATATACCATTTGAAGCTTTGGGAGAGACGCAGACGACGAGACACACTGCGTCTCTAACCTGCCAAACTTTGAATGCTTGAACTGCAAACAAATGTAACTCGGCGCCCAGTGGTCCGTTTTGACTGGTTTTTTGTTAGAAACATGTGAAATTGTTTGAAAAACTCAATGATATAAAGTTTGATAATTTTCACTAAATTCGAAAAATCTTTTTTCCCAATTTTGCAGAATTTTCTATTCTCGATGAAATTTCATCCATTTCTGTCAAGTTTTCGATTCTCTAGCACATCTGGGAGCCGAGATACAGCGCTTTGAAGTTTTGGAGGTGAGAGACGCAGAGAGTCTCGTCGTCTGCGTCTCTCCGAGTGTCTGACTTTCTGCATCTCGCCTAATCTTCAAATGGCTTTATCTCGACTTCTAGAAGATCTAGAAAGTTGATTCTTTTTTTGGAAATATATAAGAAACACTATGCTATTCATTTATGACATTAAAAAGATTTTTTGTGTTTTCAGAAAAGCTGAGATTTCGAAAATCAAATATAAATTTTACATTTTTTATATTCCTGGAAATCTAGAGCAGAAGCTTCAAAATAGTCCAAAAACCACGTCTCTAGGTCCTCTAGAACCAGAGATACAGCCATTTGAAAATTTGGAGAGACGCAGACAACCAGACACTCAGAGAGACGCAGACGACGAGACACACTGCGTCTCTAACCTCCAAAAATTGAAGGCCTGTATCTCGGCTTCTAGAAGAGCTAGGAATCCGGTTTTTGGTCAAAATTAAAGCCTGAAACCTAAATTTCAATATTTTCCGCGAATTTGACAAACACTTCGAATTTTATCATAGGAAAAATTCTAATTTTGTAAGAGTTGAGTATTGATTTAATTGTATTTAAAAATACAGTAAAAATGATACATTTAAATTTGAAAAGCAGTCTTCTAGCTTTTCTAAAAGCCGAGATACAACGATTTGAAGTTTTGGGAGGCTAGAGACGCAGACAACGAGACACACTGCGTCTCTAGCTTTTCAAAACTTTGAATAGTCATATCTCGGCTTCCAGATGAGCTAGAGAAATGAAATTTGAATAGAACTGTGTTAAATTTTTTGTAGATTTTGAAAATTTGACAATTCAATTGCTGTGTTCTTTTTTGGGTTCATTTTTTCGATTTTTCAAATTTTGCGTTTACGATACATTGCTCATTTTCAATAAAATCTTATTTGCTCCATTTTGATCTAAAGCCAAGTTTCTAGCTCATCTGGAAGCCGAGACACAACTTTTTGAAGTTTCAGGAGGCTAAAGCCGCCAGACGACGAGACACGCTGCGTCTCTAACCTTCAAAACTTTAAAGAGCTATGTCTCGCCTTCTTCTAGCTCTTCTAGAACGCGAGATATAGCCATTTGAAGCTTTGGGAGAGACGCAGACAGTCAGACACTCAGAGAGATGCAGACGACGAGACACACTGCGTCTCTAGTCTCCAAAACTTCTAAGCGCTGTATCTCGGCATCTAGAAAAGCTAGAAACTTGGTTCTTTTTGTAAACTTTCTAGAAGAACATCTATATTCTCAGATTGTAACTTTTAGAATCCGAGGATTCATAAGAATATTCAGAAAGTGAAGATTTTCTGGATATCTTAGAGATCCCTTCTTTTTTTTCCACCACTTTTTCCCTCATTTCCCCTCCAGTATTCCGCGAAACAAGACATAAAAAAGTCAGCGGGAGATTTTTGTGTGTTTCCCCAATCAATCACTTTGTGTTCATTCCGTCTCCATTTTTACACACATTACTGTACAAGGAAGACGCCCAAAAATATTGACGGATCCACAAAATTTGCCGCTGGTGGCGGCAAAATTTGAAAGGAGGGAAAATGAAAAATGATTAGGGGAAAATCTCATTGGTTTTGTGTGGGAAAAAATCAGATTCAATGGACATCTGGACGGACAGATACACGGAAATTGGGATTAAAAGTTCTGGGATTCTTGGAAATTCATAGTTTTCTGGAATTTTCAGAAACAATCCGATATTTTGAAATTTCTGAATTTCATAAAAATTCTGGTTTTTTCTCGACAACAATTTTTTTCTCCTTTTTTTTCGAATCCTCAAAAATCTCGTCTTTCCCTGCCAAAAATCCAGTTCGTTATTCAATCTTTTCTTATCAATTTTCTCGATTTTGTTATCCAATTTCTCTTATCATCTGCCTGAAACATTTTCATCATTTTGGCCAAAATGGCAAGGATAAAAACATCCAAATTTTTTCAGTTGTTTATATTTTTCTATATCTTTCTAGATGTTTCTGCAGAAGGTGAGATTCAGAAATTCAGAAATTCAGAAATTCAGAAATTCAGAAATTCAGAAATTCAGAAATCCAGAAATCCAGAAATTCAGAAATCCAGAAATTCAGAAATTCCGAAATTCGGAAACTTAAAAATTCTGAAATTCTGAATCCAAAAACTCAGAAATTCAGAGATTCAGAAATTCAGAAATTCAGAAATTCAGAAATTCAGAAATTCAAAAATTCAGAAATTCAGAAATCCAGAAATTCAGAAATTCAGAAATCCAGAAATTCAGAAATTCAGAAATTCGGAAACTTAAAAATTCTGAAATTCTGAATCCAAAAACTCAGAAACTTGGAAATTCAGAAATTCAGAAATTCAGAAATTCAGAAATTCAGAAATTCAGAAATTCAGAAATTCAGAAAATTTCAAAAACTTCGAAAACAGTAAAACTCTGAAACTCAAAGAAATCAAAAACTTCCAAAAAGTTTGAAATTTGAAATTTCCGTAAATCCAAAAATATCCAAAGTACTAAAAATTAGCTTTTTTTCTCAAATTTTGAATTCCAAAAAATCTGAAATTTAGAATTTTCGAAAATTCCAAAAAACTATATTTTCAGAAATATCAAAAATTTTCATCTATAAAAATCTGAAGTTTTTCAGACCCCACCCTCTCAGCTACAGTACTCGGCGGTGACCTTGAACCATTTGATATCCCATTAGAAGAGCTGGAAAAAGACACGAAGCAAGTCACAACTCTATCTGAACAATGCAAACGATTTGTCAATCATTATAGGTGTGTGTCTGTGTGTCCAGATGTCCAAAAGTCGTAAAATTTCGATAATTTTGGAACTAAAATAGGCAAAAAAGACAGTTTTTCTGGCTATAGATTTGCCCGAATGTCTGGAAAATTTTAAAAATCAAAAAAAATCGACAAATCTTGCTCCAAAATATGCCAGACTATTCCTGTCTGTTTGTCCGGATGTCCGCAAGTTTCCAGGTACTACTGTCGATCCTCCAATATTGCCACTTATAACGAAGAAGTCCGAATCATTTGTGAACGATATCGAAATTATTGCTCAGATCGTGTCTATCCGGCAATTAATCATGTAAGGTTAAAAGCAAGCTTAACTATTTGTCTCTTTAAAGGCGCAGAGCTCGCAAAATGACATTTCACACATTTCTGCAGTTGACAACTTCTTGATAGCGCTAGTGGCTTTCAAGATACACCTCTTTGAAGATCAGTTTGAAGATCAGAGGAGGCGCAGACGACGAGAGTGATCTGGCTTCTCTTGCTCTCAACTTCAAAGACGTTTATCTCAAGAACTTGTGAGGCTATCAAAAATCTGTAAACTATAAAAATGTGTAGAAATAAATATCCTACATTTTCGTAGTTAGCAAATTTTTGATATCTCTGACGGTTAATGAGATATGCGCTTTTAAAGTTGAGAGGGAGGCGCAGAGAAGCGAGAGCGCTCTTGCTGTCTGCGTCTCTTCAAAGGCGCATATTTCGAGAATCGTTAGAGCCATCAAAAAGTTGTCAACTACAAAAATGTGTAAAATTTTATCCTTTACATAGTTGTAGTTGACAACTTTTTGACAGCAACGCTTGGTCCCAAGTTATGCGACTTTAAAGTGAACAATTTTGATGAACAAGGTTTCAGCATCTATATCTCTTTTTTTGTAACAGCTAGAAAAAAGATGTCAACTAGTAAAATGTGTAGAAATAAATATCCTACATTTGTGTAGTTGACAACTTCTTGATAGCTTTGACGTTTCATGAGATATGCGGTTTTAAAGTTAAGGAGAGACGCAGACAACGACAGCGCTCTCGCTTCTCTGCGTCTTGCCTTAGCTTGAAAGTCTAACCTAGATGGCTGCTGATTTTTAGATCCGTCGTCAAACGAAGTTCTGGGAAGGTGCTGGCGTACCCAAGGCAACGATCAAAGCAATGTCCACGTGCTACTCGCATTGTAAGGAGACCGATCCGGTGTGAGTATATCATCTTCTGAATTTTGCTATAACTTTGTTCGCAGACTAGGTACATCTTCACAAACCACATAGTTTTGTAGAACTTTTAAATTTCTATAAAACCCATTTTATTTGACTAAAAAATTTTGATGTTGAAGAAAGTTATTCCAAAAAGCAAATCTGGAATTACAGATGCGTCAACGCGTGCGAGTGCCTTCACCTTCAGTGGATGATGAACTACGAGTGCTATCCGGGAACACGTGCTCCAGCATACAACAATTGTCAGAGATGGGCGGCTAAATGTCGAACCGTCTGGAAGCCCCGTCAAGACTACACACCTGCCGATTATCGCGACATGGCACCACCGCCAATCGTTCGAGGCGTTTTCTATGGATATGACGGACTGGGTAGGGATGGCAAAATGTGTATAATAGAATTTCACACATTTTTGTACTTCACAGATTTTCGATAGCTCTAACGGCAAGTGAAATACAAGCGTTTGAAGTTGAGAGAGCGCTCTCGCTTCTCTGCGTCTCTTTAAAGGCGCATACTTCAAAAAGACTTAGAGCTATCAAAAGTTGGTCAATTGAAAAATTGTGTAAAATGACATTTCACACATTTTTGTAGTTTAGAGATTTTTGATAGCTCTAACTACAAGCGAGATACAAGCGTTCGAAGTTAAGGGTAAGCGCAGACGACGAGAGCGCTCTCGTTTCTCTACGTCTCCTCCTGAATTTTAAACGACTATATCTCGGCTTCCAGACAAGTCAGAAAGATAGTTTTTGGACCATAATAGAGCATTTTTCCATATTGTTTGGTTACATCACAATTTCTGGTTTTTCTGAAATTTTTGATTTTCGAGACGTTTTTGAGTCTCGAGAGCGCAGACAGTTAGAGTGTCTTGTTGTCTGCGGGAAGCCAAAACTTTAAAGGCGCATATCTCAAAAACCATTAGAGCTATCAAAAAGTGATCAATTACAAAAATGTATGAAGATAAATTTCACACATTTTTGTAGTTTGTAGGTTTTTTATATCTTTCACGGCAAGCAAGATACGAGCGTTTGGAGTTGAGGAGAGACGCAGACAACGAGAGCGCTCTCTTCTCTGCGTCTTGTCCTCAATTTCAAAGGCGTATATCTCTAGAACCTTTAGAGCTATCAAAAATTTGTAAACGACAAAAATGCGTAAAATTGATTGCTCTATGATAATATGATGTTCAACTTCCAGCTACTCATCGGACCTTCGACCGCCCACGCGATCACGGAGTCTCATTCTTCCGCGGGACGAATACGGTACTGGTGGATTGGCCGGAAGGAAAAGTGGCCGGTGGAACGACGATCGAAGTGCCGTTCGCAGGTGTCAATGTTATTCCAAATCAATATAATATCGGATTCCCGAATATGCAGAGAGCAATGCGGGAGTTTACAAAGTAAGTTAGTTCTTGACCTCAAAATAGAGCTATTGTGGAGCTGATCATTATCTCAATTTTATTTTAGTTTTAGAACCTCAAAAAGTCTGAAAACTAAAAACATTTCAGACAAAACCCCGACCAACTTAACCCGGGAACCGGTCGAATGTCTGCACTGGCCATGATGCAAAGAACCTGATTTTTTCTGAAATTTTCATTGTTATAGAGCATCTAATAATGTTAATAAAGTGATAGAGCTACTCAACGTCCTTTTTCTGAAATTATGAAGTCAAAAATAGTATTTCTTGGTCCCTTTTCTGTTTATTAGCCCCTATATGTATGTATACCCCCACCCCATCATAAACTCCTTGTCTTCTCATCAATTTTCTTTGTCTTCTCCAGAAGAACAATTAAAATGACATGGTCTAAGCCTTTCCCCCCTCTTCTTCTTCTCAGGAGCAACAATATGCTCCTCAAAGTTTTACGACTTTGAGGGAGGGAGGTCTTCTAAATGAAATTGTCTCTTCTAAAGACGTTACACGTCGACATTGAAGATGAATGGTTAGTTTTCCGATTCAGTGGAGTTGTGAAGGCAATTAGGAATTTTTTAAAATTACATTTTCAATGTTTTCGAAGTTTCTGGAAATTTAGAAAAATCTGACAATGAGGGTCATTTTTACGTCGTGGCCTAACTTTTGCAAGTTAGGAAGAAAATGGGGGAAAAACAAGACTACCGTAATCCCTATTTAATTTGTTTTACAGAGAGAAAACAACAAAAAGAAGAAGAAGGAGAAGCTGGAGAGAAAATTAAAAACAATTGTTTTTCTTTCATTAGGTTTGCTCATAGTCAGTGTAAATGAGCTATAGTAATCCCGGGAAGACAAGGAAAAACAACATGTTTTCTGTTTTTAGATGGCCTAGAAACTGGTGGCCTAGAAATCCGGGTTTCTAGGTCATGTAGTAGTTTCAACCGGCCCATACTCCAGGGGTAGGTCGAGGGTTCATATGCTCAGGGGGTACATTGACTGAGGGGGTGCATAGTTTGAAGGGGTACATATAGGTAATTGCTTCACTGTCAGGGGCTATATCTAGGCCAATCTCAGCCTAGATATATCAATCACTAGGCTAATCTACTACCTAGATATACTTGCATGCTTCGAGTAATTTTTCGAGAATTTTCTCGAAAATTTTCTCGAAAAATCTTGGACATTGATCGATTTGGACATGGCGGCAAAAAGCTGGTGGCATAGAAAGCCCAACTTGCACAAGTTAGGCCACCACATTGATCGATTTGGACATGTGGAATTCGGAAATTCAAAAATTCAGAAATTCAGAAGTTCGGAAATTCAGAAATTCAGAAATTCAGGAATTCAGAAATTCAGAAAGTCAGAAAGTCAGAAATTCAGAAATTCAGAAATTCAGAAATTCAGAAATTCAGAAATTCAGGAATTCAGAAATTCAGAAAGTCAGAAAGTCAGAAATTCAGAAATTCAGAAATTCAGAAATTCAGAAATTCAGAAATTCATAAATTCAGAAAATCAGAAATTCAGAACTTTTGCAAGTTGGGTTCTCTAGGCCACCAGCTTTTTTTGGCCTAGAAATGGTCTAGCATGACCCTGTTGTGTTTTCTAAGTCATTTCGATATGATGGCCTAACTTTTAGAACCGTTCGGCGTTATCTCTAGAGACCATCCATCGTATAAACATGTGCACTTATAAGATCAGCTATTGCGTTACTCGTCGGCCGTTGATCTTCTGTGACTGCACTTTACAAAGTGATGATATGCTCGGGTTCTAGATTCATCCAATTCATGCTGAAATTCAAAAGAAAGTGTTAAACCGGAGAAGAGAAATAATCTAGAGCGTAAGATTCAAGACTGTAAACATCACGAGTTTGTAGAAACGATTTTCGAATTTCGAAGGGATTCGTCATTTGAGTGCGAAAATATTTGAAACGCATGAGTCACATATTTCGGCTGCAATGGAACTATACAGGGAAAAAAGATTTATGACGGAAAAA